GCCATGGCATCACAACTCACAACAACTTCTAACTCCTGGGCTGAAGCAAGTCTCCTGCCTCAGCCTCCCAAGTAGCTGGGACCACAGGTGCCCGCCACAATGCCCGACTGTTTTTGTTTTTGGTTGCAGCCATTGTTGTTGTTTTGACGGGCCCGGGCTGGATTCAAACCTGCCACCTTAGGTGTATGTGGCTGACACCTTAGCTACTTGAGCCACAGGGGCTGAGCCTATAGAAAAGAATTTATGTAGCAATGTTAACTTTTTTTTTTTTTTTGAGACAGAGTCTCACTTGGGCACCCTTGGTAGAGTGCTGTGGAGTCTTAGCTCACAGCGTAGCAGGAAACCGATGCAGACAGAAGACTTCAGGCACCAGTCGGTTAGAGGAAACTGCTTTATTTCGGCCGGGGAACTCGGAAAACCAGCGTCTCCAAAACCAAGCCCCCCCTACTCAATCGCTCTCCTCTCTTTTATCCACTTTTCAGGGTGAGAGTGCACATGAGGGTCATAAAACAGAGAGAGACATGACATCATCCTCAAGGTCCCGGCTCAAGGGGAAGGTCAAATTCGCCCAAGTCCTTGAGACCGGTTGGGCTGCCTGCCCTCAAAGGCAACGGAAGCCTAAGGAAGTTACTAGGTTACAATCTAGGCCCCTCGCATGTCAAGGGAGGAACATATAGACAACAGAAATGCCTGCAGCTTTGCTAAGGTCTACACAAGGTGGCTAGAACAGATTCTTTTTAGCTCTGCTTTCACTTTTCGTGCCTCGTTAGCAATTATTTCAAACTCTTGGGCTCAAGTGATCCTTTTGCTTGAGCCTCCCAAATAGCTGGGACTACATGTGCCCATCACAACATCTGGCTATTTCTAAAGATGGGGTCTTAGTTTGGCTCAGGCTGGCCTTAAAACTGTGAGCTCAGGTGGCGCCTATGGTTCAAAGGAGTAGGGCACCAGCCCCATATACCAGAGGTGGTGGGTTCAAACCCAGCCCAGCCAAAAACTGCAAAAAACAAACAAACAAAAAAACCTGTGAGCTCAGGCAATCCACCAGCCTTGGCCTCCCAAGTGCTGGGATTACAGGCCTGAGCCACCTTGCCAATCCTCAAATTTTCTGCTTACAAATTTACCCTTGAGCTAGTATCTGGGAAGCTGGATTGTAGGAATGTTCCCACCATTGCCAGGGCTAACCAGAGTGGCTCATTATGCCTAAGCTATTTGTACAAATGATGCGATTTGTGTTACACATCTGTTTCCTTCCTGGGAGTCTGAAAAGGTAGGCACCTGGCAGAAGCTACCTATGCAAACAGCCATGTTGTAGGCTGAATGATGGGCTCTCAAAAAATAAATCTATCTGCAGGTATGGTGGCTCACGCTTGTAATTCCAGCACTGCAGGAGGCTGAGGAGGAAGAATTGCTTGAGCTCAGAGTTGGGAGACTTGCCTGAGTGAGCGTGAGAACCCGACTCATAAAAAAACGAGAAACCCATGGGTGGCGCCTAGGGCTCAGTGAATAGGGCATTGGCCCCATATACGGAGGGTGGCGGGTTCAAACCCGGCCTGGCCAAACTGCAACAAAAACAACAACAAATAGCTGGGCGTTGTGGCAGGCACCTGTAGTCCCAGCTACTTGGGAGGCTGAGGCAAGAAAATCACCTAAGCCCAAGAGCTGGAGGTTGCTGTGAGCTGTGACGCCACAGCACTCTACGAAGGGTGATAAACTGAGACTCCTGTCTCTAAAAAAAAAAAAAAAAAAAGAGAGAGAGAGAAACCCAGGTGGGCCCCATGGCAAGTGCCCATAATCCCAGTGGCTTCTGGAGGCTGAGGCAGAAGGATGTCCACATCCCCAGTGTGAGGTTGCAGTGACTATGACGCTATTGCACTCTTCTCAGGGCATAAGGTGGGACTCTGTTGCAACAACAACAACAAAGGCAAGGAAATAAAAATAAGCAGCTCAGCACCTGTAGCGTAGCAGCTAGGGCACCAGCCATATACATCAGAGCTGGCATGTTCGAATCCAGCCAGGGCCTGCTAAACAACAATGACAACTGCAACCAAAAAATAGCTGGGCATTGTGGTGGGTGCTACTTGGGAGGCTGAGGCAAAAGAATCGCTTAAGCCCAAGAGTTTGAGATTGCTGTGAGCTGTGACGTTACAGCATTCTACCAAGGGTGACAAAGTGAGACTGTCTCAAAAAATAAATAGAAAATAAAAAGTAAAGGGGTGGCGCCTGTGGCTTAAAGGAGTGGGGTACCAGCCTCATATACTGGAGGTGTCAGGTTCAGGCCTGGCCCCTGCCAAAAACTGCAAAAAAAAAAAAAAAAGAAAAAAGAAAAAGAAAAAAAATAAGGAAAGAAATTTTTTTTTAAAAGATGTATCTCCCTGGAAGCTGCAAATGTGACTTTCTTTGGGGAAAGGGTTTTTGCAGATGTAAAGGAAGAATATAAGTTAAGGATCTTGAAATGAGATAATCACAGATTAGGGTGGGTCCTAAACTCAATGGCAAGTGTCCTTACAAGAGAAGGGAGACAAAGAGAAGTTGATGTGAAGACAGAGTGGAGATAGGAGTGATGCCAATCCAAGGAACATCAAGGATTGCCAGCAGCCACCACAAGTTAGGAGAGAGGAATGGAACAGACTCTCACTCAGCCTCCAGAAGGAAACAAGTCTGCTGACACTTTGATTTTGAACTTTTAGCTTCCAAGACTGTCAGAGACTAAATTTCTGTTGTTTTAAGACACTCAGTTTGTGCTAATTGGTCATAGCCACCATAGAAAGGAAATATAAGCTCCCAATAAAACCACAGGTGCTGAGTCTCTAGTGAGTTTTCCCAAAGGGCAATAATTTGTAAGTTGTCACAACTCCTTGCTTGGAAATTAACTGCATCCCATGTAATGCCAATGAGAGCCTTGGGAGCTCACAAGTCTCCTCTAAACTTTATCCATGTGCTTCTTCCCTTTCCTGATTGTACTTTGCATCTTTCTGCTATAATAAATGATGGTGGCCATGAGGAGTATATACTGAGTCCTGTGAGGCCTCCATCAAACCTGGGAGTAGTCTTGGGACCTCCTGTACAATAAAAATTATATAACATCCAGGCGCAGTGGTTTATGCCTGTAATCCTACCACAAGACGAGCCTCAGCAATACAGCAAAGCATCGTCTCTACAAAAAATTTAAAAACTAGCTAGAGGCTGAGTTAGGTGGCTCATGACTGTAATCTTAGCACTCTGAGAGGCTGAGGTGGGTGGATTACTTGAGCTCAGGGGTTCAGGCCAGTCTGAACAAGAGCTAAACCCTGTCTCTACTAAAAACAGAAAAATTAGATAGACCTTATGGCAGGTGCCGGTAGTTCCAGCTACTTGGGAGGCTGAAACAGGAGGAGAGTTTGAGCCCAAGAGTGTGAGGTTACTGTGTGCTAAGGTGTCACAATATTCCAGCCCAGGCAGAGTTAGACTATGTCTTCCAAAAAAAAAAAAGGATGGGGGGCACTGGCTCCATATACTGAGGGTGGCAGGTTCAAACCCGGCCACGGCCAAACTGCAACAAAAAATAGCCAAGTGTTTTGGCCGGCACCTGTGGTCCCAGCTACTCGGGAGGCTGAGGCAAGAGAATTGCCTAAGCCCAAGAGCTGGAGGTTGTTGACACCACAGTACTCTACGGAGGGCAACATAGTGAAAGTCTGTCTCAAAAAAAAAAAAA